GGGGGGGGGGGGGTTGGGCCGTGCAAGGACACGCCATGCAGACCCGCGTCTCGGGGCATTCAGCAGTCGTTGTTTATGTGGACAGCAACCCATGGAATTGGCCCAGGTAGTCGTCCGTCTGTGATGTGCAGTGCTGCCTTACCACCATCCATAAACATTGGCTCAGTGCGGTCACTTTTGTGCCCCTAATACTGTCCGGGCGGGGTTCAGTGCTGTTGGTGGATGACTTGTGCTTGTTGTGTGTGCTGGTACTGTGTCTGGGAGACTGTATCTTGGTTTTCATTCGCTTCGGTGTTGCATTCGTCGTGCTGTGTCTTTCTTTCTGGTCACATAACTGATCGTAGGAAGCAGTACGCTGACGATTTGTGTAGCTCTGCTGGTGGGCCACGATCCATCGATGCATGGAAAATCGAGCGATAATGGGGAATTGCCTGCCACTGCTGTTCTCGAGTTTTTCGCGTCGCGACGACGACGACGAGCAGTCTCTGGAGGAGGCCGCTCCCGAAGAGAGTAATCCGAGCAGCACGCCGCCGGCACGTCCACAGGTTTGCACTTCTTTCAAGCATTTCACTTTTCAGCGTACACCATTTGTGCGATTGTTTATGTTCTGCGAACCTCTCTTAATATAGTACTAGAGACTTATGTACTTTCTGTGTTTACAGCTTAGGGATGAAACACAGGCAGCTTCTTTCTTCGCATACTACTCTTCACATGATCCTTTTACTTGACAAATGGTTTGCATACATGTCCCACTTAACAGTCTTCTTTTCACCCTTTTCAAAGTATTTCGACAGCCAAGTTAGGACCCTTCCTGATTGATTTTAAGTATCGCAACTTGTCGAAATCATAGCAGCTGTTTTTCATGGTGTAGTGGTGTAATTTGGGAGGTGGAGTGATCGGAAAGTTACAGTAGTAGCTAGCTGAATGGGATGTTGCACAGCTACTTCAATAAAACACTATGGAATTAAACAAAGCATTCATAATTAATAAAATGTAGTACATATGTTGTGGGTAGGGTCTCCATGGCCCGTACTGTCTTTTACGTATTCGATGAGGAGACCGAATGAGAAACCCGTCGTCGCCTCCCTCGCTTCCTGCCTTTCCCTCTTTTTTACAAGAGCAGCAATGAGAAATCTCAGTAGTTAGGCAGAGAAATAGCATGCTCTGTGATAATTTGCTTGCTATGCAATTTACACAATGATCTTTTTTTCAAAAGATGCATTCTGCAGCATAATGGGAACTCCAAGACTCATGAATAAATCGCCTGCACAGAGTTTAAATTCACTTCTTTGTTACTCGCAGTTTTCGTTTTCTCGCCATCGTCGTGCCAGGTTGCAGTTTTTGCATTTAGCCTTGTTCGTAGCTCGCTGCTTCCTTGTAGCTCTACTGGGCATTCAAGTGAATTCTTCCACCCCAGTTTTCTCAGTGCTTATTTAACTGTGATTATCAAGCGAAATGTTTTTTTGACAAAAATATTTTTCTTTGATACGGAACCAGGACACTTTTTATAAAATGTTAAATCAGGGATCTTAGGCAATTGTTGAGAAATTTAATGTGCGACTGGGGAATGGTAGTTTGTTGGGATGTGGCAGCGCGAGCAATCAACAAAAAGTCATAGTTCGGAAAGAGGTGTTACGAAAAAAACGAACAGATTTGTACTGCATTTGTAAGATGAGGCAGTCGAAGAAGCTTTGACAACAAACATAAGTGAACTTGGATTTGTTTTAGTGCAGCAGTGTGAGGATTATGTGTTTTTTTTTTTTTATTTAATGAAGTTTAGGCACAAGGCTCTGATCGGTCAGAACCAATTGCTTTGGGGTAAATATTTTGTCTTTTAAGCTTTTCAAAAATTTGGTCACTCAACTTTATTTCTGTAATTGCAGTCATGTTCTGCCTTCTGTCATCGTGTCTGTCTTAATCGATTTTCTTTTTTTGTTGTGACTCCTGTTTTGCAAATTCAATATATGTACGTGCAGTACCTGGCGGACAGGAGACCTTGCTTATGAACCCGCTCCGTCTTTGTTTACGGCTAAGAGCTCCATCTTTGTGTACGGCTAAGAGCTCCGTCTTTGTTTACGGCTAAGGAATAAAACACAGACTGTTTCTTCACATGTTCATCCAGCACAAACGGAAAATTCCTATGCTAATTTTGTAATATTTTATAAAGACTGGTAATGCTTGGTGGGGAGATGGTGCCGTGCTTGTGCAGCATTCGCAGCAGGAGCCATTGACCGCCTTATCAACAGACGGTTGCTGAGCTGATAATAGTTTGGGCTGTTTTTGCTTGCTCTCTTCCGGATTGAATGGATTATGGAGAGAATTTTGATTTATGGCATTCTTTTGTAAAATTGATGGGTGGCAAATATGATAAACCACCGGGGTCAGCTGCTTAATTTGAAATGAAATAAATTCTTTACTGCAATTACCGCTCTGTCCTTTTCTAAAAAATATGATATTCTAGTAACATTACTAAGATAGGGTCCTGTTGATTGTTCGAGTGATCTTTTTTCTGTGACGTTTCAGTTTCTCGACAATCATCTCATCTGCAAAATAATTCTTTAACGATCCCTTTACAACGTTTACTGAGTGAATGTTTTTTCCCCTTTCTGACACGCTCTGTATTTGTTGTTGGTTTGCTCAAAATTTTTAAATTGATCTGTATCAATTTTTATAGCAAAGTTCATACATCAACGAACTGTGGAGTTCTGAGAGAGCCGGTGAAAGAAGAGAACCGGAAATGCAGCCCGAGAATTCCGAGAAGGCGCATGTATCCGCAATGTTGGAGCAGATCCCGGCTGATACGTACACGCAAGGAAAAATGGGAGAGGCTGAGTAATTTTTATGCGTTTTGTGCTGTGTAAAGCAGTATAAAACGCATATTGTCACGTGGTTGTCTGTGTGTATTTGTGTGTGTGTCCCACATTTTGTCCCGCCAGCTCGAGAACCACAAAAACTAAGCGGCTGAAATTTTGGTGAAGTGTTCTCCGCCAACGGGTAATGCGACAAATGTAATTTTAACCTTCCCGTACTCGCGGGTAACAGGTACGGCCCCGTAAAAGTTTTTCGGGTAAAATCAGTGTCTTGGGAACTACAGAAGCTAGGAAGCTAAAATTTTATAGGTGTGTCTCCTGGCCACGTGTGACTCAGAAAACTCAAATTCAACCTTCCTGTACGCGTGGTAACAGTTACGGCCCCGTAAAATTTTTAGCGGATAAAATTATCATGGGAACCACGGAAGCCAAAAAGCTGAAATTTTGTGGCATGTCTCCTGCCCACACGCGGCCCAGGAAATTTAAATTCAGCTTTCTCTTGCCCGCAGGTAACACGAGCGGCCCCGTGAAGATTTTGGCGGGTAAATTATCGTGGAATCTAGGAGGCTGAGATTTTAGGTTAGTAACTAACTGCCCTCGCTCGATCTTGCCTATTCAAATTCAGCGTTCTCGTGCTCTTAGGTATAAGCCACGACCTCGTGGAAATTTTTGCGGGTAAATTATTATCTCGAGAACCATAAAAGCCAGGAAGCTGAAATTTTATGGTAATCTCTTCTGTCCACGTACAGTCCTGCAATTTTAAATTCAGTTCCCCGCGCATTCGAGCATCATTTACGGCCCCGTGAAACTTTCGGTGAGGAAAATTATTATCTCGGGGACCGCGGAAGTCGGGGATCTGAAATTTTAGGGTGATCTCTTCTACAAACGCACGACTTCGGAAGTTTGGACTCAGCCTTCACGCACCCTTGGGTACCACATACAGCCCCACACAAGTTTTGATAGAGAAATTATTATCTCGTGTGCGTGAAATTTTTAGTGGGAAATTCCACAATTTAAGAATCTGACAACATTTCGACTATTTTTGCACAGACCAAAGTGCAAAGCACTGAAAATCTTTAGCAGGCAATCGTTCGGTGGGCGGAATTGCACAAAACACATGGTCGCATCGGCTTCTCTGATGCGCGCCGCTGTTTATTTGTTTTTAATGTTACTTGTAGCTCCTACATTTCCGACTGATGAGGACTTCATTGCACAGTGAAACTAGCATTGAACCAGATGGAGACTGTGTAGTTTGGAAATCTCATGCCAGAAAGACACTGTGTTGCATTTCGGTGGACTAAGCTTGTGGGGGTGCGATTCACGTGCAGCCTGTTTAGTGGATGAGAATGCAATAAGGGTCATACTGCTAAGTAAGAGATACAAGAAACACAGAGTTTGTTTAGTGCAAGAAGGTATGGGGAAGAGTACGAATTAAGACGAATGTTAAAAGAACCACAGTGTCTTGTACGCCACTCAGCTCGGTTTGCAACTATGAGCGAATGGGAATGCAGTAAGGGCCTTTAAAATTCAGAAGTGATGAAAGGAAGTTGTTCTTGGTATGCATCTACAGGTGTAAGTTGCTTTCGCGAACGAGCTTACGAACCTTCTCGTCCAGCAAATCGGTTGAACATCATACGACATCGTTGCGTTTGCTGGCTGTCAGAAAAATTTAAAAAATGGCGTAGTGATGATTGTTTCAGATGCCCGATTTGTATGGTGGAATTCGTTGATGGCGAACATATTCGTTATCTTCCGTGTATGCACTTTTTTCATAAAAAATGCGTGGATGATTGGCTGATGCGATCGTTTAGCTGTCCGTCCTGTATGGAACCGGTCGATTCCGCAATGCTTTCGTCGTTTGCTGCACACACAGTCAGGGGTCTGGAGACGCTAGCTTGTTCTCCGGCCGTGGCCGGCACACAGCGCAGCACGCAGCCGCCTTCTTGATACCCACTCAGTTTGTTTAGCTTTTTTCTTTGATGAGATTTACCAGATAATTCTTGTAATGTTTTGCTTAATTTGTATTTTTTTTTTCGTACCGTAATCAACTTGCTCTTTCTCGCCATTGTCGCGATAAGCTTTCCATGGTTGCTACGTCTAAATCTCCATTGCATCTGGTGGTCAATTTGCTGGTCATCTTCATTCTCGTTTCTTTGCTTCTTGCATGTATATGTAGGCTGTATCATCTTTTTCACTTTTTCTTCAGTCCTCGCTTCCTTCTGATTCCCTTCTGTGCAACAGCCATCTCCCACAGAAAATTGATTTGTTAGGAGTATATGGTTCAAGTTTTTGCAGAGACATCGAAATTATGACGTAGGAACATTCAGGACTACGCTGTGGGCAAGTATTTTGCTAACCAGTCTTAAGTTCGTACTCTCTGCTATCAATTTCATGTTATTTGCAATCTCACTGGGCCGCTTTGGGAATGGCTGTGCACTGAATGTTATGATTAATGTAGAAAAGTATTTGGTAAAGCTGAAGGCATACTGTGAGGGGAGGAAAGAGGGGGAAGGTGGGAGAGAAAAACTAACATGTGGTACGATGAGGAACAGTTATTTGAAAAACAACATGTGTAAAAGCACAAACTAATTAAAATTCTTTTTTTTCCACGTTAGGCTACATACATACACACACACAAACACACACACACACACACACACAACACAACACACAGGCGTGCACACAATGTATGAGGACTATTTTTCATTATTCCAGTCCGCTATTTTGCAGTTTGAGTGGAGAACGTATTACTGAATTGGGTGGCGGAAGTTCCATGTTCGAAAACTCGTGCACTGTTCACTTTATACTGGCTATAATAGCATTTACCGCGGGGAGGCTGCCGGTTCTTAGACTCAAGGTTTATCGCACCCATGCAGCTTCATGCAGAAGCTCGACTAGATGTGTCTGTCTCACTAGCAAGCAACTACTAACTGCAAGAAATAGTGATTTCTGGAGTAGCACGTGCTCTGTACGGCTTCTTGCCGGCATAGGCGAATCCAGGACGAACTCCTGGGGAAGGGAGGAGGAGTGGACACGGGAGGAGGAGGGGAGAGCGGAGCTCCTAGTGAGAGCGACAGGTATTGGGGATAGCCTCTTTTCATCCTGGAACTATGCAAAAACTAGGAGTAGAGTTGTAACACTGCTGCTTAGAGTTACTTTAGTTTTATTTATGAACAGACCCGGGCTTTTGCAACACTGGTGCCTGTACCTCTCCCCCCTTCCCGGATCTGCCTACGCTCGCCGGCGGCCAAATAAAGATTGGCTGTTAAGAGTTTGTGTTAAGAATTGGCTGTTAAGAGTACAGTTTGTGCTCCGGGTTGCGTTGTCTGACATGGAGGTGCTGCTGGCAGTGGAGTCTGTCCCTCGTGCCTCATCATCGCTGTTCTCATTTCTCGAGTTCCTGCTGACTTCAGATTTCTTTTTGTTCCTCATTAGCTCACTGTTGGGAACGCCCAGGCAGAGAGACGTAACGGCAGCTGCGTGTGCTTCAGGACTTATGTTTTGAGCCACGATCTGGGGATACATGCCTCTGGCTTCTCTAGTGATAGCCAAGAATTACAACTGCAAATGGTGTTTCTGATGGAGAGAATAGTATGCGGAGTGTGGCGTCTCGTTTTTTTGCAACAGTGGCACTTGCTTTGTGCACTTTGAATAATACTCTAGCAGTGGTACTTGCGTTGTTCACCGTGAATGGTACTCCTGCTTCGATTTTTTCATTTTAAATTCTAATGCATTTTGGTATGTTTTTTGGTCAGTTTTTCCCGCAATTTTGAGTGCTGTAAATAGAATTGTTCAGTGTTTATGACGTGTATAAAAAAGATAACCAAGCACTGTGGTTGTTTGCAGAAGGATAGTGCCTTAGGGGACTTACAGCTGTTGCAGTGCAGTGTTCAAAGGTAGGGGAACCTCCGGTCACTCATCCACACTGGTTTTCCGGGCCACTAGAAATGGTGCAGAAATTGAAGCAAATGAGTGACGAGCGATTTGCGTTGATCTCAGTGCGACTTCCTTTAGCTATAAGAAATCGTTGCGGTGATGAAGCATTTTACTCTCAAAAATCGTTGGATGCAGCACATGCAGCAAGCTGCGAGTACTTCCACTGCTGGTTACTCTATGCGGTAAAGCGTTGTGCCAATCCACAGCAACGAAAAGCATGGCCTGGCAACAACGTCCATAAAAGAAAGGCTGCTTGGTGCTTTTTTCTCTCCAGTGGACTAGTCCTCATGCGCGAAGTGTCTCCTCTGTAAAACTCCCTTACTTCAAAGTAGTGATCCTAACATTATATTTATATGAACAACTAAGTGCTTGCTCGGCAGCGGGTAGGGTAGGTACTTTGAGGAGGAGGCTCGAAGCAGTGCTTGTGCTGTGGCTGGTGAGGCAGATGTTTTGCATTGAGGGCATATTTTTGTGCATCCTGCGGGAGGGGAGCATCCGGGTGCAGTGCAGCCTCAGCTGCTATTGCTCAGCGAAATATGCTCAGCTTGCTGCTGTTAATGTGGTTGTTGCTTCGCCGAGAGACATCCGATACCTTGTGCTGCTGCCTTCCCCTGGACGTCCTTGAGTATCGAGCACTTCTCTCCAGAACAGTAGTATCTGTCGATACCGAGACGGGACCGGTCTAGCTAGGCCTCTCGCTGTCAGCTTGGGGACAAGGAATTGCCTTTGCAAGTGGAAGGAACTCAGAGTTTGCATCGGCCGGCATATTCCTGGCCAAGCTGCTGCATCTTTTCGGCTGCGAATCTCGGCCTGCCTCTGCCGGTTCCGTAGGCGCCTAGGCGCCGTTGCTAGGGCGCTAAGACGGAGCGCATGAGCCCTCATCATGTCCGATTCGACATGCATGTGGAGCCCGAGGGCGGTCTCTGTGCCCTCAGGATGCAGAGATATCTGTCGAGGACCTTCAGCTGGATCGTTCGCGCATTCATATGTCGTGATATTGTAGTTCGAGCACTCCAGCCTGAGGATCGTAATCCTAAAAGTCAATAAGCTAGACTAGTGGCGT